TCACAATTTGATAAAAAAAATTAAATCGTGACAATCTTTTAAGAACGGAATCTTTAAGTCGATAGATGATGAGTTACCAAATTGGTGTTCAATCTTGTGCATGAAATCGGACATGAGATGTTTATGGACCTTGAGGGCAAGAAGAATGACGCCGCCGGACGCTGCAAAGACCGCCATGCACCCCGCCGCTCTCAATGAACCCTCCATTTTCTTTTGTTTAATTTTCTTGTGAAATCAAACAAAAGAAACAAATATGATATAAATGATTATGACATTATCCTTGTAATTAACAGTCTTTAATTTTGACGACATTTATTTATATCTTAATTGAAAACCTTTTTTTTTCTCTTCTTTTCATGCGCACCCCCCATTTAATTTGTTTAATTTTTCTTCTGAAATGAGTTTGAATAGTTGTTTGTGAAAAAGGGAGAACCAATAGATTAAGGATGAGTTTGTTTGCATTGTTTGGTGCATGGTTCACGGCCTCTCGATCGTTTTGATTTCAACATATGATCAAAGTAAATGAATAAGAGAAAAATAAAAGGAATAAATTCCATAAAAGGTCCTCAGTTATAGTTCATTTTACATATTTAATTCCTAAATATCAAATATTAATAATTTAGTTCCCAATTATTATATTGTTCTCCACGAATTGTCATTTGTTAACATTTCCGTCATAAACGTGGATAAAATTATAAATTCACGCTCTTCTGTCTCCTCAATTAAGCTTCCTCCCTCCTCGCACTCCTTTCCCAAACTCATTGCTGAGAAGACCTACGAATTATACGCGGACCTTGGGTGCACAAAATCACCACTCAAGATTGTGAGCCGCAAAAACTTGTCCAAAACAAAAAGATAGAGTCTTTTTTTAGCTGTCTGAAAATAAAAATAAGAAATTTTATTTTGAAATACGAGAGTGAGTATATTTTTGTGAAATTTGCACTAAATAGGACTAAAACAGAATGACTTTCTTAATGTAACACTTAAACTTTTTTATTCCCTAAATAGGACTTAATAATGACCTAGTGGAAGGAATAATATCCATGGACATTTATTTGAATAATGATTACTTCATAATAATCAAAGGTCCTACATTGAGAAATAAAAATATATGATCTTATATTAGGAAAACCATTGTGTTTTAATTCTATTTAGGTAAATTTCTCTATATTTTTTACTTTGTATTTGGAAACTTGAGAGTAGAAAAGTGTGAATTCTGAATTTGGTAACGAAAACGGTTTTAATTTGCATTCCACTTGTGAGAAGGTTATGATACAAAGAATTTAGAAACCTCTTTCTTTCACAAACATTCACTCACGTCCCTTCTTAAATCATCATGCCGCTTCTCCTCCTTCTTTTCCCCCGTCGAAACAACGCCACTTCTCCTAAAGAAGGCCACTTCTTCTCATCAACCGTACCATCCCTCCTCCTCCTACAGGTCGCCGGAGCTACGCCGACTTCCAACCGGTAGTCTTTTTCTCCAATTCTCCAAGTGTTTCATATAAACTTGTAATTCAGGGTTTTAGCCGTCAAAATATCTCCTTTTTTTATCTCATTATCTAATTCGACATCAAAGACTGAATTTTTCTCCCTTTTGTGTGGTTATGCTCTTGGTTCTTGATTCTTTTTGTCTTGAGAATTATGCCCCCCTCTTCCACGTCCCCTCTAATTTCATGAGAATTATGCAGGTTCAGTGTTCAGATTGAGGGCCAAAATGGGGCATCTTCGAAAGCAAGCTTGGGTTTTGTTTTTCTTGATTTTACTGTCTCAGAGTCGCTCGTCACGGGGATGGTGGTTCTCAGGCTCAAGCAACAATGGCGATGATCAAGCACAAGGAGACTATTCGTCGGGCGAAGACATGCGGCATTCTTTCCAGAAACAGGTTTCCGGGTTCTCCATGAAGCCGTTTGAGAGTAGGAAAGGGCTGAAATTGATGGAAGACGCGAAGGAGAAAATGTTGGCCCCGAATACTTGCTGGCGAAGGGCGTATCAGAGCGTGTTTGCAGAGTGTTCAAAGGTTGTCCCCAATGAAGAACTCAAGTCCAGGCTTGCTTGGTATCTCACGGATTGTTTCCAGCAACACTCGGGACGGCCTCCTCTCCCCCATTGTGATTCGAGATCTGTCATGACCAAGTGTTTGAAGAACTTGGATGATCATGCTCATAGAACTTATCTTGAATTCTTCCTCCAGACAGATTCTCTCTGTCACCAGTTGCAGTAAGAATATAAATTTTCATTCTTTGGTTAATAGTATAGTTTTTCTTTTCAATTTTATTGTATTTTCACTGAAGCTTACTTTTTATACTTGCATCTAAGAACTGATAGATCACTTAAAATTCAAGACGAACACTTTCTTGGTTTTTAACATATTTACGGCTTGTAGGATGCATGCATTTAGAGATGACACAGAGAGGTTGGTCAATGCATTGAAGGATAACGCAGAGACTGTTTGGGAGAAACTTGAGGTCATTTCAGATAAAGAGGAGCTGATATTACAGAATTCTGGAAACATTCATGACATGTTGGCCTCTGTCGATCATAGAACTCAAGAGTTGGAAAGGGCTTCAAAGAATGTTGAAGAGCATGTCTCCGTGGTGCTCAAGCATTCGGAATCAATATATGAACAATCAATGGGAATTGCAGAGTCTCAGAAGGAGCTAACTGAGGGCCAAGAGCAGATGAAGAAGAAATTGACGGAGGGGATGTCAATGATTCATGAGTCTTATGTTAGTCTGGATAAAGAGATCATTGAGTTGAAGAATGAAGCGGAGGTAATAGAAAAGGAGATTGGTAAAGTTGGAGACGAAATGTTTTCAAGGATGATGACACTTCAAGGTAAAGCCGATGATATTGAGAATATAGCTGGGGTTTCTTTAGATAAACAGAAACAACTTCTGGACGGACAATCCGTAGCTCTTGATGGTCTCCAAGTTCTCAACAAGTTTTTGAGCCAAGCTCTTGAAGAAAGCAGGTAAACATCAAAACTAGCTGACAATAACATCAAGGTTTATTTATGTTTTGTTGGCTAAGTTTGTGTGTAATTAACAATATTTTTCCGTGGTTATGTATTGAATTTCACAGGGGAAATCTGGAACATTTAGCTGAAATCGGGCATAAGCAACAAGAAGAACTTCTTAGAAGGCAAGAACAGCTTCAACAAGCACACGATCATCTTGCTGAAAATTCGAAAACAATATTAGCTGCTCAGGTGAGTACCTCAGGCGATTTTTATATACTTTCTTTGACATTGTCATCTCAGTCACCTTTACCTAATTGCCCTGTTTTGTTGCAACAATAGGAAGCATTTGAATCAAAGCAAGCAAGCATGTTTGTCGCCCTGGACAAGCTCTTCGCATTGCATAATGCCATGCTCCTCGAATCAAGACTCATCAAAGCTTTCTTAGTCTACTCATTGTCAATCTTTATTCTGTACATGTTCACTAGCATGAAGCAAACTTACAACATGAGGCCTAGGCTTTATATGGGTAAACTATCTATTTCAGTATTTAGATTCAAGAAGAAAGAACTTAAACCTCCACAATATTCTTCCATTGTTGAATATTAATTCACTGCCTTTGAACATAACCTCCCTTTTCTTTCAGGATTATGTGCTACATTTGTTTTGGAATTAGCCGTAGCTCGATATGGGACATACGAAATGGAGATGCAGTCTTGGATTATAGGCATTGTCAGATCACTCTTTATGGTTGGAGCATCGGTTCAACTTATGTATGCGATTTGGACATACAGGTGAAAATCACTTGTTTTGAGTTCGCATCAGGAATCAATTTATAGGACACCCTTTATCTTCTTTACTTCACTTTTTTTTGTTTTGCAGAGATTATGAAGTTTTGAACCATCAGATGCTATTGACATTGATAGAGAAAGTGAATGGGATTCAGAAGCACAAACAGCTGTCATGGGAGATGGAGAGTGATTCAGATAGTGAGATAGACTGGTCTGCATGGGTTGATGAAGAATTGCCTGATGATGTCGATGAACTGGAGGATCCTGATTACATAGTTCATGATAAAGTTGCAGAAACTCCAGTCTTGCACAATGGAGTAACACAGAGATATAACCTACGTAATCGCAATTTGTTATTATAACTTACCACCATTTTTTAGATATTCTCTGTAGTGCTGTACTGTCCATGAAGAGTAGTATATATATAAATTTTAAAGTAAAGTTATGCATCTGGTAATTGTGTATTTCTAGTAGTTCCACCTTGCTAAAATTATAAAGTTAACTACGGTGCAAAAAAATTCTTTTTTATGGGACAGAGGGAGTGCAACCCAACAGATAGAAACGTGGGAAAGAAACCCGACAAGTATAACCTAATTGTCAGAAACGTAGGAAGACCAAATGTTATGTATCATTCCCGTTGATGAACTTAGGTGTTGTGCCCAGAAAATTAAAATGGTTCCTTGATAGACTAATCTGGTTTCTGCAACTTTTGGCATATTTCTTCATTCATGCTTTGATAAGGTGAAATACCCAATCTTTCTTTGACAACTTGAAATATTCACCATGCATGTAGAAGTAACTGCCTCTTTTTGAGATTTTTTTTAAGGCTTGTTTGTGTTTTTAGACTTCAAGATAACTTTTCTTTCCATGATGTAATAAGTTGAGATCTTTTGCATTAAGTTTTAGTTTTTTTTCTGCAAAAAAAGAGGAAGGAGCAATTCCCAAACCGTAACAGAACCAGTTGAATTAGAGGCGATTTTTTTTAATAAAAAAGGTTATTGCCAATTGAAACAGGTAAATAGCATGTTATTGTGATTTTGAGAGAAACATAGTGCTTGAATCCAAGAAACTTATGACTGTTCATAATGTTTACACAAGATTTTTTGTTTTTGCAGCATTCAATGGCTTGAAAAATGTCAATATGAATATATTCAACAAAGCATTCAGGGAGCATTCTTTGTGCAGACGGGCACACATTTAACAGCAAGTTTACTAAGCGGTAAAAACTTATTCGTTATTGATTATTACCACCAAGAGTAAGTTGAAGCGAAATAAATGTGAAAGAAACCAGATGAATCTCTCAGAACATGAATTTATACTGTAGAATCCAAGGCCAGGAGTGTGCTGAGATTCATGGGAGTCATGTACTTGGTGGTGCCCCCCATGATTTGTTGGACAATGAGCTTGTTTGCCTTTTCTGATGGGTGGAATGCATCCCAAAATGCATACTGCTCCCTATTTGAGCACAAGTTAGACAATGCTGTGCAGAGGCCGAGGCCGTTATAGGGTCCTTGTCCACAACAAGCAATCTTAGAACTAGCAAACCCTGTCACAATAAAGTTAAACAATGTTAAGGTGGGTCCAACAACAGCAAAAACCACAACAAAACCAATAAAGTCCCACGAAAAGGAAGGTTTGGGAAGGGTGTGTGTAGCAGCACAAAAGAAGTGTACAAATTGACTCTAAAAACTAGACATAGAGCACAAAAATGCACACAAGGGGGTCTACCCAACTACTCTAATCCTAGATATGTAGTCTTTCCTGTCTAAGGTCATATTCTCGCTAAGATCCCAAAGCTTTCCAACTCTTTCTAGGTCTACCTCTACCCCTTGCCGCACACTCTTCCGGAGGTATTGGATCCAAGCTCTTATACTAATGACGAGTTAGGATGAAAGCTTCATACCAAATGCCAGAGGGTTGCTAACGAAATCGTTGTGTATTAGTTGCGTATTTGCAGCAGTGAAAACGTTTCTGCCTAGTTTTCCATTGAGTCCTTGTAACATTTGAATAAGCTGTGGGTTGAAAAGTGATGCGGCGCGCTGCAGTTCTGCTGCGCACTCTCCATTCCTGCTTCGTTGCGCTAGTTCTGATGGCACACAACCTAGTGGTCCTGTTCCTGTCACAATCACCCTTCGAGCTCCCAGGTCATAGAGCCTCTGCAATTGCAACACAACCTTAATAATGCCGTTCTTCTTTTAAAATAAATATAGGGTTAACTTATGTTGTTAAATTTTGAAAGTGATTACATTATGTTACCCATGTAATAAACTGATATTGAGCAAATATGAATAAGGACAATTCTGGGCACTTACCATCAATATTTTTCCGTATTCAGAGATGAGAAAGGGGACATAATCTTTTAGAGCATACTGCTGGGACCTTATAGAGTTAGGGACAAGATAGTAATTGTTCACAAAATCATTCCCTCCAACGGTGATGAGAACGAGCGCTTGGTTCACAAGCTTCTTGGTGCGGTCTGCACCTATCAATGCGCTCACACGGCGTTGGTACTCACCAAAGTAGGCCAGCTGTAAGGGCATCCTAATAATATTCACCTGCACATTAATTAAAGGGCAACTTTTTTTTGTGTGTTCAAATCAAATCTTTTATTCTTGTAATGATTTTGGGACATTGAAGATAAGAACGGAAGGGTTGGAATGTGTTACAAATTGGACACCGGTGTCATTGAGAATTCCAATCCCAGCTGATGCAAAGTTAGCCCCAACAAGCATTCTTTGCCCTCCAAACTGTGGACTCAAGTAAGGCAGCGGGGATTCTGAAGCACCAATCTTCTGACCTGCAATTCAAGGTACAATACCAAAAACAAGCTCTTACTCCCTCCATTCTTTTTTAACTGACTCTTTCGTTTCTCACCATTGTTTTTTAAATGTCACTTTTTCTTTTCGTGTCAAAGGTTTGACCAACAATAAAATAAATGTACTCAGCTGATGATGTCCGGGATGTTAAGGCCATTAGAGAAACGGCCCGTGGGTCTATGCGTAGGGTAATCAACCCCATAGGGCGGCGAATCTGCCCTCGCGGTGGTAGCCAAGTAGTTATTGTTGCCGCTGTCCACCAGCGAGTCCCCGAACACAAAGAACGCAGGAGCAGCCGCAGCCGCAGCTTTAATCATCATCAGCAGCAGACCTGATAAAACAATGCAGAGGCCAGTGGAAGGGGAAGAAAAACTTGCTTTGGCCATATAGCCTGAGGTATATGATTAACAAGAAAGTTTTGACTTTTTTTTGCATGAAAAGCTAATAGATGCTTGCATGGCTTTATACAAATGGCTTGAAACTGAAAGACCAAAGGTTGAATTAAATGTTGTGAGTGAAGCTTGGTGGAAAAGGGAGAAAAATGGTTCAGCCATTATGTGTTTTTTAATTTAATTTTGTATTCAATAGAGGGGCAGCTCACAATTATGAAAGCTACTAGTATATATTTTGCCATAGTGAAAAGCTCAATCTAACTCCATTAGTATGAGACGTTTCGAGAAGTGTTTAAAAACAAATTTGTGACGTGTGACAATAGAGGACTAAAGATCTGCAGGTTGTGTCTTGTGTCGATAATCGTTGTGATAATCGTTTTGTTGACTTTATTGTTACCCAGTTAAAATGGTAAAATAAGTGACAAAAATTGTTTAATTATGTAATCCAACCATTTGGTCAATAAGGGTGGGATAAATTATGGTGCTTAGATCATCCAACGTGTGAATGAGGGTGTAGGGCACTAACCTAATTCATATGAAGAACAAGAAAACCTCATATGATCAACATAAATGAATGTTTGACGCCAACTACCTAATACATATACTCCCCTTCTTAAAAACACTTTCGTCCTAATTTTTTGCAACCCCATTAAATACTTTTACTCTACCTAAATTGTCTAAAATGTCTTCAAAGCAACTTCTATCTGCAATAAACTACATAATGGAATGTATTTTAGACATTTTAGGTGGAAGTAAAAGTATTTTATGCGGTGCGCAAAAAATTAGGGCAGAATTGTTTTAAAAAACGGAGGAAGACATTTGTTTTAAAAATTAGGGCAAAATTGTTTTAAATTAGTTCATTATAAAATAATGTACTAAATCAAGAAAAAAAGGTAGACACCTCATCCCCGAGGGCCCCTTAGCACCGGTTGAACAGAGGTATCTGAAAAGAGGTAAATTAAACTATAATTTCAGTCAATTGGCATATGGGTGGGGTTCTGTGCCTGATACTTGCAGAAGTCCCAATGCTTTGCAAGGTTGCCTCTCATCGTAGCCACCGAGCTTCGTTCGAACTCGAGATCTTTCTCTCGTAGTACCCATATGCCAACTGTCGAGCTACGCCTCACCAAACTAAATCAAGATTTAAGTGATAATGTTGCACATTACACCGTGTGTTATTGTTGTACCAGTAGAATAAAGTTTTGGAAAAATCAAAGTTAGGTATGAAGATGTTTAGAGAAGAAAACTCTTAATTGCAGCAGAAAAAGGAAAAATAGGGTAACGTAAAGCTGCATGCTTTCAATTACTGAGACCTATATTTTGAGGCACTTAATTAAGGATTGTACCAAACATGATGAGCCCTAGAGAGAGGGAGAAGATTTTTCAAGTAAAACATGTGTTACCTATGAATCTTTCGTTAAACGCAAATTATGAATGACCCAAATAATAGAATATTATAAATTATTTAAATTTAAGATGAATGGAAAAATAGAATATTTTTTTGGTTAGACTACGGTTGTTCCGGACCCGCCTTTGGCAAAATCCGACTAATCCTTAACTTTTCGGCCGAGTTTGCGGATTAAGGCCGAAAGTCTCCTAGCAGGTGGTGGATTTGAATCCATGACCTCAAGGTTACCACAGTTTCGCACAAAATAAATATAAATCATTTATATTGATTGATGTAAAAAAATAGAAAAACTAGAGGCAAATTCTTACGTGATCCTAATGTTCATGCGAATTTAATGGACATTAGTTCATTGAAATGTAAATATTCACATATAGACCTTAGGATTACGAAAGAACAACTCAAAATTAAAATAATCACTTGGCAGCCTATGCAAGGTACGAGAATATTCACATTTCACATATAGACCTTAGGATTACGAAAGAACAACTCAAAATTAAAATGGTATGAATTATTTAAATATAAGACTTAAGTTAAAAAGAGGAAAAAAACAATGGCTTGATATTAAAATACTAGAAATCATTTAAACGTAAGATTAATGTAAAAAATAAAACACTAGAAATCATTTAAATCTAAGATCAGATTAATAGAAAAAAACAAAACAACAGAAAGAAAAATGCTAGGGGTAAACCAAAGTAAAATTTAAGTTTAAAAAAAAATGGCTCAGTGAATGGTGCTTTTTAAACCAAAGTAAAATTTAAGTTTTAAAAAAAATGGCTTAAAAAAAATGGCTCAGTGTTTATAAGCAAGCAATATCATCATCATACACTTTTATGTGTTCAGCAGTTCGGCGATCCAAATCACCAGTTGCTAATATTAGTCATCATCGCCAAATGCACCAGCCGGGAATTGAACCCGGGTCTGTACCGTGGCAGGGTACTATTCTACCACTAGACCACTGGTGCTTCTTGCTTATCGAAGTGATACAATTAGATAAATCCAACTTCATTTAAAATGCGGATGTTAAGCCCTTGCGTCTATTGATGGATTGAATCCTTGACCCCCAAAAAGTACAGTAAAATCTATAAGAATGTGTTTTATCGTTTTTTTTATTTAATCTTCTATTATCAAATACTCCCTTCGTCCTATAATGATCTTCCCGGTTCGCAAAACGAAGAAAAATCCCAAGTTTTTTCAATCTATTTTATTTAAATATTGGTATACAAATAAAAAATAAAACATACATATTTAAAAACTACATCAAAAGTTCAACAAAACAAGTGGTGACAAGAATATATTATTTTATCATATAGGTCATGAAAAAACACAAATAAATATAAATTTCCGTGAAGTTGGAATAGTGCTCTGAGAAGATCATTATAGGACGGAGGGAGTACTATTCTTGTGGTTCCTCTTTTATGAGTTATATTTCTACAAATAGTCTTTTGTTTAGTTTATGTCAAAATATTATTAATTTGAGGGTTAAAAATGTAACTTTTCAATGATTATATATCTTTTTTGTCATGCATAATTACAGAGACCGCTCTTGATGTGTCTTTTCTGAATTGCAGTCGCTTTCAACCTCTGTTAGCTTATTCGCGTATTATACACCCGTACGTACAATACGCGTAATATACTGTCAAATATGAATTTTAATTTAACAAACATTTAATATGCACATATTTTTGACCACAAACATATTTATGAATTTTATACGTATTAAATCGTAAAATGCTCTTCTATCAACTCCTACAATCAAAATTTAGAAGGTCAAATATAATTTTGGATCAGATTAATTTACTTAATTGTCTTCGATCTTCTTAAAAATACAAATCTTTAAAATTTGGTGAGTTAGCAATGGTAAAAGTATTTGAAGCTGGATCGTAGTTCAAGTCGTCCACCAATTCCTTTGTTAATTAAATATCACCCACAGTCTACCAGTCTTTGACTTCATTTGGCTGAAAGTCCAACACTCCAAATGCTCTAGCAAATATTAGACAACAATATTCTCTCTATGTGTTTAGATCTTTAAAATATAATCAATTTTTTGTATTTAGTTATCGAGGTTAAATATTTATCCATAATTAAAAATACAAATTGGATTTCGGGTGTGTGATTTGAATTCTAAAAAAATCTAAGTTTATAACTATATTTTTCATTCTAAAAATGAAAAATATAAAGTTGATTTCATTTTACTCAGTTTTAAATTACGTAAAAGATTATTTAGTGAGTTCATATTTAAATTACAAAGAGACTTGAATCTTCCTATAAAATTTATGATGGGCATTTAATCAATTTCATAAAACTCAAATTGTCTAATAATATATTTTTCGTCATGTGTCAAATGTTCCATTTGAGTCTAAATATCATCTTTATCTTTAAGAACGTGTTCTTACTTTGAATACATTTTGTGAAAGTACACAATAATAGTTAGATTGAAAGATCTCCTTTGGATACACATGGAAAAAATGAATAAATAATAAATCGGAGTGTCTGTTGAATTTTTCAAATTTTTATGGTATATTTGTATTCAATTTTAATGTTTAAACTATCCTTTTTATTAAAATTATTTGCACTCATTGTAAGTCGTATTTTTGAAAAATTAAACGTATAATGCACGAATGTATCCGTCTACGTACTCCAAACATATAAAACATATAATTAGACGTCTTTTAAAAAATTATTTTTATACAAATATACATTATAATTTTTATTTAGTTGAGTTTTAAAGTTTGTCTAATTTGACTAAAAAATCAAACTGGATGTATATACTGATACATAATTAATACGGAGCATTAACTTCTGCTAGTATTTGACTCATATATAGAAAGAAGATCTTGACTTTATATGTAAGAATTAGATAAAAATCTAAGAATTATATTGTTCTCGGCCTGCTGAAATTTTAACATGGTATCTGAGAAACTGCGATCCGAGTTTTATTCTCCCTAGTTATATGGACGTGGATTAGCAATATAAGCTACCTGTATGTGGTTTGGGTTGAGTTTACTATAGGAGATTGAGATACTAAACTCGTTTGTCAAAGTCTTTATTAGATCAGACTAGTTACCACTTGAGAGAAAACGTTAGAATTCTTACATCGGAAAAAGTAATAAAATACCACTAGCATATATGGAAGGCCTATCAGCTTAAGCTTTTGGGTTATAAAGTGGATTCTGATTTTATATGCAAGTTGTTAATTTTATCCGGTAATCTATCCATTGTTCTTGTCCCACCGAAATTTTAACAGTTTCTAACAAAAAATTGAAATGCATAAAAAAACAAAAATGAAACGGTACTACAAAAGTGTTACAAAAAAAATTAAAATTTTTATACTTCAATATTTTCAATAATTCAATACTTTTACAAGTTTTTTTATGCTGCAAAATATGTTTTGACGCAGTACTACAATTCCCTTTGACATCCAATCCTCTCCCATTGGTGTGAGAAACATAATAGGAATAAAATGATTCCTGGCCTGCCACGTGGAAGTTCGTTACTTGTTTTTCGGCAAGTTCTCTAACTAATTCTCTCTCTCTCTCTTCTCGCTTCTCAAATCACTTCTCTCTTTCTCTTTCTAATTTCTCGACAGATCCTTAGCAGCATTAAGAGGAAGAACGAATGCCCTAATCAAAAGCAGACCGGACATGGGAAACTAATTAATCTTTGAGGAGCAGATCCATCTTTAATAAACTAATTACAACCTCGGAAATGGTAATTACGTTATTGATCTTGTTATAATTAAATGTAGTCTTTTTTTTTATTTAAATTATTTATTGTTTATCTTTGTGATAATCTAGTTGATTGTAAAATGCATTAGTCTGTTTGGAATTATATGTTAAACTTTTCATACTTTTCATGGATTGTTGTATTTATAGTCCGTATTTATGGGAGATTTATGTTCATCCCAATAATAGTTTACTTATGCTAAAAATTAAAGTTCATGATTTCTTAAGTAGATATAAGAATTTCCATGTTTTAAACATTCCATATGGTATTGTTAGGACTTTGGATCACAAACACTCACACTAAGATCTAGATGAAGAAGAAAATGAAGAAACTAATCCAAATCAATATCGTTGTAGATAGAGAAAACACAGAATAAATATTAATGTTAATGTCAGTTGGTAGGACCGAAGACCGAATTGAATAAAATAACAGACTAAAGACTGGACCTAAATTCGTTCGGGTTTGGACGAACCAGACCGAATCGAACTGGTCCAGACCGATTAGACAGAAAAATATAGTATGGAGTATATTTTTAAATTATTATGATCACTTAAATACATTTTAAGCTTTTTATTTTGTACCGTGCAAATTGAAAAAAATAAAAAAATAGACAACCTAAAAATAGATACACAACATGGACTTCTAGAAATATAAAAACTAATGTGAAAACATTTTTTAAATAAGTTAAGATATCTATTAAAATAGAGTATAAAAGTTTGATAAGGATTGGAACTTAAAAAGTAGAGTTTTAGTAGTTAGGTCTTTTAGGTCCAATAGGGTTATTAGGTTTATTCGGTCCAATCAGCCCGAACCTAAATCATTTTGGATTTGGACCGGACCGGACCGAAACCCGAACTCCTAAAATTTTTGGTCCGAAGACCAACCCGAAATCTATTCGGTGTGGGTTCGATTTAAAGTTTGACTTTTTTACAATTTCGCCACCATCATTTTAACAAGAAATTGATCACATCCATTCATTTCTACGTGATGAAAGGTTCAGATAAATACATGCACTTAGAATTGCAATTGTTGTAATTTATACAAACAAGGATACTTGTTCTTGTTTGTGTAGGCTCATTGCATTGTACACAATGTGATTGATGACACTTACATTAAACTCAAAGACTCTCGAACAAGTTGTTCGAATACATTTTGAAAACGTTAAAAACAATGTGCATGTCGCAATATTTCCCCATTGAAGTTGTTTCAGAAACAACCTTTTAAAGAAAAGGATGTTGAAAAATAAGGCTTAGTTTTTGTTGTTGTTGTTGTAGTTGTAGTTGTTAAATAAAAGGACATTTAAATATGCATTGAAAACCATTGGTATTGACCGGATAGCGCAACCAATACCGTGTTGTCTTGTTTTTGCAGGGAACTTCAGTAAATATTATAGTTGGATCTCATGTTTGGATTGAGGATCCACATGTAGCTTGGCTTGATGGTGAAGTGCACAAAATCAATGGTGATCAAATAGAGATCCTCACAAGTGATGGCAACAAGGTACTAGAACTTGATATTCTCATAATCTCATCAGTATGTTTTCTTAGTTCAATGTTTTTTTTCTATACATAATCTTTTTGTGTTGTTCATTTAAGGTTGTTAGAAAGTTATTGGAAGTTTCTCCCAAAGATGTGGAAGCTCCTGCTGGCGGGGTTGATGACATGACGAAGCTGTCTTATTTGCACGAACCGGGAGTTTTGCAGAACCTCAAATCCAGATATGAGCTAAATGAAATATATGTTGGTTTTGCCTCTCAACTCATATGTCACATTGTCCATTCTTTCTACGATGGCTTCTCATTTAAGCTTTGGTACAATGACAGACGTACACGGGAAATATTCTCATTGCCATAAACCCTTTCCAAAAACTACCCCATCTCTATACTGCACACATGATGCAGCAGTACAAGGGAGCGCCGCTTGGCGAGCTCAGCCCTCACGTCTTTGCTGTTGCCGATGTTGCTTACAGGTTAATCCCTCCCATTCAGTTTGGGTTGACAATGGTTTTAGTTAAAGATTTTTTAAATACAAACGTTTTTTGGAAACAGGGCGATGATTAATGAAAAGAAAAGCAATTCCATTCTTGTGAGTGGAGAAAGCGGAGCAGGTAAAACCGAGACCACTAAAATGCTTATGCAGTATCTTGCGTTTTTGGGTGGCCGTGCAGCTACTGAAGGAAGGACAGTTGAACAACAAGTTCTTGAAGTATGACACTGGCACATTACTTTTAAACATCTGTTCTAGCACTACCCTGTGGGTCCGTTTGGGAATAATCTTAGCGTTTTGTATAATTATTTGTTTTGCATAATTATTTGAGGGTTCCGATTAACTTTAAAAACATTAATCTAAAGGTTGTCATATGATAGCGTTTTCAAAATGCTAGCGCTCATGCCAAACAAGCATTGTATCAATCAAGTTTCAGTTATCTATGATGTTTGTTATGTTATATATATATATATATATATATATATATATATATATATATATATATATATATATATATATATATATATATATTACAATTACAAAAACCCTCATGGATCCTTTGTATATACCTATTGAAGTGCAGTCTAATCCAGTCCTTGAAGCATTTGGCAATGCAAAGACGGTTCGAAACAACAATTCAAGGTTAGTCTCCGAACATAAAAAAAGGTGCTTCCATTGAGATTCAGTTTGATAAAAATGGAAGCATATCAGTAGACTTAGATATGTCTAAAAACTGCTGCAGCCGATTTGGAAAGTTTGTTGAGATTCAGTTTGATAAACATGGAAGAATATCAGGAGCAGCCATTAGGACTTACCTCCTCGAAAGATCCCGGGTTTGCCAAATTTCTGATCCGGAGCGTAACTATCACTGTTTTTATTTACTATGTGCAGCACCACAAGAGGTAGTACTCTCCTAGTGATTCCCATTCCTAGTCATGTGGCTAGGTTGTGTTGCTGACATCTATATTTTGTTCAAGGAAATTGACAAGTATAAGTTGGGACACCCCAAAACTTTTCACTACCTCAACCAATCAAATTGCCACGAGTTAGTAGGCGTGAGTGATGCACAAGACTATCTTGCCACTAGAAGAGCTATGGATATTGTCGGGATCAGTAAAGAAGAGCAGGAGGCAATTTTCAGAGTTGTTGCTGCAATTCTTCATATCGGTAATATCGATTTTACCAAAGGGAAGGAGATTGATTCTTCAGTTCCAAAGGACGCCAAATCCAAATTCCATCTCAACACATCGGCAGAACTTCTAATGTACTAATGAATCTAGCCTTGAAATTGCATACGATTTTCAGTATTCCCATCATCAGTATTTCCTCCATTCATACTTAGCTGACTTTTGTGATACATCAAAATTTGAATGAATATAGGCATACGTCATGTCTACATTCATTCATTTTTTGATGTATCAGGAAAGTCATAATGGTGAATGGAGGGAGTATCCATCTGATTCTCTTGTCCTTTAGGTGTGACCCCGTGGCTCTCGAAGATGCATTGTGTAAACGTGTCATGGTCACTCCTGAAGAAGTAATAAAACGAAGTCTTGACCCCCTTAGTGCAGCAGTCAGCCGGGACGGATTGGCTAAGACTTTATATTCTAGGCTATTTGACTGGTAAAGAACTTGGTAACTTTTATTGCCAGTCTTGTACAAACAACATGTTACACATATCATGATAATATATGTACTCATTTCCCTCCTGGAAACCTGCAGGTTGGTAGATAAGATAAATGTTTCCATCGGGCAAGATTCGCAATCAAAGTGTATCATTGGGGTCCTAGACATTTATGGTTTTGAAAGCTTTAAGCATAATAGGTAGTTACAAATATTCGGGGTCTATTACAAGCAGTTATGACTTAGAGGAGATGAATAAGTAAATTACCTCAAACCCCTGTTATTTTAATCCAGCATATAAACATGCAGCTTTGAGCAATTTTGCATAAACTTTACGAATGAGAAGCTGCAGCAGCACTTTAATCAGGTACATTGAAATGCAAAAATTAACCACATATATCCTTGGTAAGGTTTTATCTTATTCTCTGAGCTCCCAATGCATTGTAACAGCATGTATTCAAGATGGAGCAAGAAGAATACACAAAAGAGGCAATCGATTGGAGCTACATTGAATTCGTTGACAACCAAGATGTTTTAGATCTTATCGAAAAGGTGTGCCCCGGAATCATGTGCCCGAAACAAAAAACATTTTCAATATTGGATCTTTTAGCTCCTTTGGCAGTGGATGAGACTTTAACTAATTACATAGACTAATTTTCTGAATGGAGTTGAGGACACTCCTTGAGAAGACTGCTCATTTGCAGATGCTTTATTGTTCAAAATCTAACTTTTTATTTTGTGTGAATCATATTGTGTAACTCACGGTTCGCCCTTTTGCAGAAACCAGGTGGGATCATTGTCTTACTTGATGAAGCTTGGTATGATAGTTGTATCTAATGATTTGCTTTCACATTTATAATTGATGCTTTCACTTTGATATTTACTTAATCTGCTTGTAGCTTATGGGTTGATGTCTACTTTATCCATTTCAGTGTCTGTTGTTCTCATATACTCACGATTTGTTTTCAGTATGTTTCCTAAGTCAACACATGAAACATTTTCAAACAAGCTTTATCAGACGTTCAAGAATCATAAGCGGTTTCTCAAGCCGAAATTGTCTCGTACAAACTTCATAATTTCACATTATGCTGGAGAAGTATGCTTTTTAAATGTTATTATATTGTACTATTTAATTTTTTTTAGTTATCTCAAATGTTTAAACGTTTTAATCCATATTCCAGGTGCAATACCAATCTGACCAATTTTTAGACAAGAACAAAGACTATGTGGTTGCTGAACATCAAGACCTCTTAAGTGCTTCCAAGTGCTCCTTTGTGGCTGGTCTTTTCCCTGCCCTACCCGAGGAGACAAAATCCTCGAAAACTTCCAAGTTTTCTTCAATTGGTTCACGTTTCAAGGTTTTCCCCTCTTTGATTTTGTGTGCGTTTTCCCATCATCTCCGATGGAGCCAAAATTTCACCATTTTTTGGCTTTGGGGTGTGATGGAATAAATCAAAATGGATCTCTAAACTGTCTGCGCTTCTTTAATTAATGAAGTAGAAGTTAGTCAAGCAATGCAACTTTCGACGTTGAGCCGGGGGTCTCTTTGGAAACAGCCTCTCTACTTTCGAGTAGGGGTAAGGTCTGCGTACACACACCCTCCCCAGACCCTACTCTTGTGGGATTTAACTGGGTTGTTGTTGTTGTTTGATTTTGTGTGTGTTAGATATCTATAACGGAGTATTTGTACACCACATTTGCACCACAGACAAATTTTCAACTACACGTACTGTGATTGTCTTTGTAGTTCAATTTTTTTGCGTGATGTACATGTAGCATCTCCCTATCTATAAATGGTTTATCATTTTTATGACACAATTTGCAATCATAAAATTGACATATTGATGATTTTTTGGGTATATGATGCAGTTACAACTACAGCAATTGATGGAGACTCTGAATGCTACGGAGCCTCACTACATCAGATGTGTTAAACCTAACAATCTTCTCAAACCTGCCATATTTGAAAATGTTAACATTCTGCAACAACTGCGTTGTGGTGTAAGTACCCCCCCCCCCCCTCCAAAAAAGTGCTTTTGATGCATTTATCCATGAAACCATATGATCTTAATTTTAAATGACATCAATTTGGTTTCTGTTAAGGGTGTCTTAGAAGCAATTAGAATAAGTTGTGCTGGATACCCAACTCGGCGCCCTTTCTTTGAGTTCATAAACAGATTTGGGCTCCTTGCACCAGAGGCTTTGGTGGGAAAGTAAGTGCCTCTCTTCCCCTTCTTTTCCGTGCTTCCGCTTGAAGTGTAATAGCATAAAATCTATGTTATTAGGATGCTACACTGACTAATACATGAGGGTATATTGATTTAAATAAGAGTATTCTTGCTTAATATTTTCAGTGTATGAAATCTACGTCATTTTTTGTCAGCAGCTATGATGAAAAGGTTGCTTGCCAAAAGATTTTAGATAAATGGGGGTTAAAAGGGTACCAGGTAAAAAGCTATATCCATTCCATCATTTTGTTACTCATTGAGGTGGTTGATAGTTGTCTCCTTTTCGATCTCCTAACTACAATTTTCTTAATTTTCGGATCCACGCGGTTATCAAAAGCCCCAATTTTCTGAAATCAAAGAAATAATTTATCTATAAGCTTAACGTTGCAGCATTATATTACAAAATGTAAACCATTAGACGGTACTAAATATGGAAAGTATTGTCATAGGACAATGGTCACATGATTAAGTTCTGAATGGGCCAAGTATGCTTCTAGTATGCCTCTTTATTTCACAGATAGGAAAGACAAAGATATTCCTTAGAGCTGGACAGATGGCCGAGCTGGATGCACGAAGAGCAGAGGTTTTGAACAGTGCAGCAAAGGCTATACAAGGACGAATAAGAACTCACAGTGCCCGTAAAAGTTTTATATCTCTGAGAGAGGCAGCTGTTTGTATGCAATCTTTGTGCCGAGGTAAGGCATTTAAGGCTTTGAGTTGGCCATTGAGTTACACTTCATTATATTGCAAGTTGCAACATTATGCGTACTATTATCTTCCTTCTTGTTAGAGTACAAAAACCTTTCTAGAGCCTCTAACCATTGGCGTAAGTTTTTGGTTGACTTTGTTCCTTGACATAGTATGAAGCGTTGTTGACCGAGATGTCACGAGTTCAATTCTAAGTAGTGTAGCTCCAAGTCTCATCCTTGCATGATTTGATTTATAGGAAGACTTGCTGGCAAACTTTTTGTGAAAATAAAGTTGGAAGCAGCTGCGACAAAGATTCAAGCAATCATACGTCGAGACCTATTGAAAAAAAATTATGACCAACTCCGAGTCTCAGCAGTTGTGCTGCAGATAGGTTTTCGTAAGATGGATGCCTCCAAAAAATTCAGATTTAGGAAACAAACAAAAGCTGCAACAAGAATTCAGGTTTTGTTCTCTCTCTCTCTAATAAAAATAGTGTGCATGGTTATCACAACTTACCTTCCAACACAAAGTCTTGAAAATATGGGTTTATCTTCTTAGGCACGGTGGCGTTGTCATAAAGCTTTTATGACTTATAAGAAGCTTAAAAGAGGAACAGTAGTTGCACAATGCAGATGGAGAGGAAAAGTTGCCAGAAGAGAGTTGAGGAAACTAAAAATGGTTAGTTCCAAAGCTAAAACCAAGAGTTTCTTTTTGAATCAAGTCTCGTTTGTATCTCCATATAAATTACTATGTACTATATAACAAAGTGATTCCCTCATCTCAAAGACTTTTAATTGATGAAAATCTACAAGTACAGTAATTTTCTGTGTTGTTTTCCAGTACCTAAATTATACAGACTGGTTCTCAGTTTCTAGTATGTTCTCCACTTTCTTAAGAAAATCATCTCATCGTTTGAGAAAAAAGATATTTTCTACACTTGAATTCCTTCGAGCGATTATGCATATGTTTCCAATAAGGAAATAAGTCATGAAAACTTTTAGCTTTAGATCCTGTGGGGCATTAAGTGATAGTATCTGCAGGCTGCAAGGGATACAGGCGCACTAAAAGAGGCAAAAGACAAGCTGGAGAAACAGTTAGAGGAACTCACATGGCGCTTGCAACTAGAAAAACGTCTAAGGGTAATACTGTTTTTCGTGTTTGGATAATTTATAGATGACTTCATTTTCTGTTGATACACACACACACACAGAGTTCATTTCAATCATCAAGGCTGATTTAGAATTCTCAATATTGCCCAAGTATTAGTGACGTGACAGAATCTGTAATTTTCATTTTTGGGATACCATTGGTGCAGACTGATATGGAAGAAGCAAAAGCACAAGAGATTGTAAAGTTGCAGGAATCTCTAGAAGTTATGCAGAAGAAAGTTAAGGAGGCTATTGCTTTGGTTGTCAAGGAGCGAGAGGCAGCAAAGAAGGCTATCGAAGAAGCGCCTCCAGTTATCAAGGAAATTCCAGTTTATGTTGAAGACACTAAAAAAGTAGAATCTTTGTTGGAACAAGTTAACAGCTTAAAGGTGTACAAACTGTTTTCTTCCCTCAGGGGAACTTTATACACAATGAAAACATCCTATTAAACAAGCTAGCATGTGAACCTTCTCGTGGTTGATTTTTAATTTCATCTTCAATCAGGAATCTTTAGAGAATGAAAAGAAGGAATCAGAAGACTTGCGAAGAAAGTATGATTTGGAACAAGAGTCCTCAGAGGAAAGCCGTGCAAAATTAGAAGAAACTGAAAAGAAAGTTCATCAACTCCAAGAATCTCTTCACAGGTACTCCAAGGCTATCGGTATCCCTATTCCTTTAACATAACATCACTCTAGCTATATGGTCGGTATGTTTTTTGTTTTGTGTATACTTCTGTCTCTTTACCTATAATAGTAAAGAGAACCATGGATACCAGAAGCCATGATGTGATTATAAAGAATTTGCTACTCTTGGAATAGTTTGTAAATGTTACAATGATAGCATGATTTTTGCAACATCTGTCATCATCTAGCACCTTAAATTCCCAACTAGTTTGGTTCAATGGCACAAATTTATACCCCATCCGTCTGTATTTAGTTGTCCACTTCTTTACTTTTGTTTGTCGAGAATTAGTTGTCCACTTTCCATATTCAATGAAGAAATTATGATGAATTGCCTAAAATATCCTAGATATATGGTACAAACATTGGGAACATTTGAGTGACAAACTCATTTGAAGAACTTATTTGATATTTTACACTCAAAGATGAGATTTTTTAGAAAGTGGAAAACTAAATCTCGACGGAGAGAGTAGTTATCACGCCGTAATTTGTAGAGATACTATAAGTTATCATTGCAAAAAAGCATAGTGGCAAAGTTTCATTCTTAATAAATGTGCCAAAAGAAATGTGAATCAAAATGTTTTCATCAGTATTAAATATGTTGGAGTGGTGTACCATACTACCATGCTTATTCACACTGAAAACTTAATTTGTCACATGTTTGATGCGTCTTCTAATTTATTTAACTCTTTGTGTGCAACAAGGCTAGAAGAAAAGTTCACAAATATAGACTCTGAAAATAAAGTTCTTCGTCAGCAAGCTGTGTCAATGGCACCTAACAAGTTCCTCTCAGGCCGATCCAGATCAACTATCCAGGTATATCTGTTGTCCAAGAACATCAATTGTATAAACTAAAATGATGAAATTATTCTAAACTCTCCGTGTTCCTTCAATAGAGAGGTCATGAAAGTGGGCATGGTTTTGGGGATGCAAGAATGCATGCGGTAAGCAACTTTGTATGTGCACACAACTTAGGTCATCAAAGCTCTAGTATTACAAATTTTGTGGTTAATATATATTTCCTATTTGCATCAGGAGGTGCATAGTCCTTCATCAATGAACCATAGGGATTTCTCCGAGGTCGAGGACAAACCACAAAAATCACTAAATGAAAAGCAGCAAGAGCATCAGGAGTTGCTTGTTCGTTGCATTGCACAAAACCTCGGCTTTGCTTCAAATAAGCCAATTGCAGCCTGTGTCATTTATAAGTGTCTTCTGCAGTGGCGGTCTTTTGAAGTTGAAAGAACGGCCGTGTTTGACCGAATAATCCAGACTATTGGCCATGCTATCGAGGTTTAAACATACTTATGCCAATAACCGTTATGCTTTCCAATGTTTGATGATCCTATTAAATGATAATTATGCATTTTTACAAACACAGAAAGCCCAGGACAACAATGATGTGCTGGCTTACTGGTTGTCGAATGCCTCAACTCTTTTATTGCTTCTCCAACGCACGTTGAAAGCTAGTGGTGCTTCAGGAATGGCTCCTCAACGCCGACGATCATCCGCTAATCTATTTGGGAGGATGTCATCACAGGTGAGAGTTTTCTCATTCATCTAAACATATCTTCTTGGGAGAAATGCCTAACTAGGATTAAAACATAATGCCAAAAAACATTGTGAAATGCCAACTTACAATGCCAAATTTTGGCATTTCACAGTGCCAATATTCCTATTTAGGGTATAAAAACATAGGAGGTCTCATTTTGGTATAAATTTCATGTTATAGTCTTATTTAGGTAGATTTCTTTATCCTTTCTTTGGCTTGGTTTTCGGTTGGTACCTCGAAGTGCTTATTTAAGTTTTTGATTATAGAGTTTCCGTGGAGCTCTCCAAGGGGTGAATCTATCATTTGTACATGGAGGGCTATCTGGTGGGTTCGATACTCTTCGCCAGGTAGAAGCAAAGTATCCTGCCTTGCTTTTCAAGCAACAACTCACTGCATATGTGGAGAAAATTTATGGGATGATTAGAGATAATTTGAAGAAGGAGATTTCCCCATTGCTTGGATTATGTATCCAGGTAACTCATCCTTTTTTTCTTCAGATGTTGATGCATGTGTTTGAAAAGAAAAATGTCTATTTTTTTCAACAACTCTTATGGCCCGTTTGGAACCAGGAAAATAGTCATCATTATCAGCAAATTGATCCCAAATAGCCGAGGTCGGTAGCATTAACACTACAAATTCATGCAAAAAAACATATTGAAACGATTTTTACGCCAGATGGTCTTCACGCCACAAAGTTTCTAAGAAGGAATAATGATATGAAAATTTGAAAACAGTCATGACCAGTGGCGGACCTAGAGTTATGTGAGAGTGGGTTCATTTTTTATATGTTGGACACATATTTTCTACTCTTTTGGTTCCAAAATATTTTACATTTTATGTAAAATAAAACAAAATTTCATTATTTTTAATATTCATCTTTGGTAAAGAAATTAAAAACAAAACGTATTTTAAAATTAAGTCAAAAGTTTAACAAAACAAGAAATAATGAAAATTGTTAATTTTTTCAAATAATCAATCAAAATACCTAAATTATAAATAAAAGCTACTCTGTTGANCAGTGGCGGACCTAGAGTTATGTGAGAGTGGGTTCATTTTTTATATGTTGGACACATATTTTCTACTCTTTTGGTTCCAAAATATTTTACATTTTATGTAAAATAAAACAAAATTTCATTATTTTTAATATTCATCTTTGGTAAAGAAATTAAAAACAAAACGTATTTTAAAATTAAGTCAAAAGTTTAACAAAACAAGAAATAATGAAAATTGTTAATTTTTTCAAATAATCAATCAAAATACCTAAATTATAAATAAAAGCTACTCTGTTGAAAACTAAGGCAATACCTTGAGCAAAACAAAAAAAAATACTCTATGAAATTCCCTGTATATGTGGCTAACAATGTGAACCCACCCAAATAAACTTTTATAATTTGTACTCAAAGTTATCTAGGAGTGTAAAATAGAAGTGCAAAAATGTAAAATAGGAGTGCATAAATTGAAATTAGGTACTGTAGCTAGCATTTGAAAAAAAAATTAGTGGGTGCACTTGACCCCACTTGGACCATTGTAGGTCCGCCCCTGGTCATGACCATATACTGGTTATTTTTATATGCATGCATGGAAAATGAGACATTGATGAGTTGAGATATTTATCATTGTATGTCCATTTGTTGAGGTCGTATAGTCTCACATCGGACACTCAAGGCTAAAAGATAATATATAAGAATGTCGGTTACTCGTCTCATCGTCAATTGGTTTTTGGCTTTTGCAAAATTAATCATATTTAATTTCCATTTTTCAAGGTAAACCCAAAATAAGAGAGAAAACACTCATTAGTACTCATATTCACTTTCCTTTTCCTAGCATTTTTTGGATCCAATTAAACAAACCCTTAACTAACTTTCAAGAGAAATACTTTATTATTGTGTGCTCTAATAGGCGCCACGAACATCAAGAGCGAGCTTAGTGAAGGGATCATCTCGTTCAGTTGCCAATAATGCAGCACAACAAGCTTTGATAGCTCATTGGCAAGGAATCGTGAAGAGCCTCGGGAGTTTCCTCAACACTTTAAAAGGAAACCATGTAAGTGACATCTACATTGCTTTTCAATATGAATATATGTCTGTCCAATAATATTTCTATAGACTTAGCCATTTCACTAGTCTTAACCAAACCAAACAAACCCAAGAAGTAGATAGGATTGAGTTTCTTTTCTAACCTCTACTTAATATGTTCTGCGGATTTATCCCTGTTCTTGCTTTTTTTTCAATTTTTTCAGGTCCCTCCATTTTTAGTTCGGAAGATTTTCACACAAATCTTCTCTTTCATCAATGTACAACTATTTAACAGGTACGTACACATAGATACAAAAATTTAAAAAAAAAAGAACTCATAATCACATAAGTTTGTGTATATATCCTAGTAATAAAAAACTTTTACAGTCTGCTATTACGGCGAGAATGCTGTTCATTTAGCAATGGTGAATATGTCAAATCAGGGCTTGCTGAACTGGAGCATTGGTGTTACCATGCAACTGATGAGGTACTTCTTCTTCAATTTTGCTTCGCATCGACAGTTCTGTGATTTCTAATTAACGAACATTACTCATTTTAACCAAACCTTAATCTTAGTGCTGTAGAATGTTTTTTGTTTTCAATTCAGTTCCATTAAGTTTTGAACTCTACCATCCATTTAGTGATAAGTAAGAGAAAAATCACAGTATGCAGGTTCAGCTTGGGATGAGCTGAAGCATATAAGGCAGGCAATTGCTTTTCTGGTAATGTTTACTTCTTAGTCTGTGCTTCTGTGTTGGAGCCTAGGGTGTCTTGAAAACAACCTCTTTCTGTGGGATTTTATTGGGTTTGTTGCAGTTCCTATTCAATTTGCAATAAATCCACTTTCTCATAACATCCTCTCAAGAATCTGATTTGTGATTCCATTTCAGGTTATGCATCAAAAGCACAAGAAAACTCTCCACGAAATAAGCCACGACCTCTGCCCGGTAAATGACAGTTCACATAATGAGATGTTTGGCAAAAATTTGTTTTGCTAATCATAATTACAAGCTCATAACTATTTACAGGTTCTTAGCATCCAACAATTATACCGGATCAGTACGATGTATTGGGACGACAAGTATGGCACCCATAGTGTCTCCTCAGATGTAAGTGTGTATTGGCAACATTACTCTAGCAAGCAAGTTCAAATCATCTCGCCTTTCGCAGTAAATTAATTAAGGTGAAACCTTAGGTTATTTTCAACATGAGGGTGTCAATGACAGAAGATTCAAATCATACGGCTAGCAACTCGTTTCTCTTAGACGACGATTCCAGGTAAGCAGCAAATTCATTTTAGGGTCCGTTTGGTAAGGGTTATTTGGCTGAAGCGGCCGAATTTTCTCAAGGATAATATCCATTTCAACCAAATAAGTCAAATAGTGCTTATTCTTATTCTGCTTATGTTATTGGTAAGCAACATAAGTGTAGTACCAAATGGAGCCTTAATGCTAAATATTTTCAGGTTCCCTTTTTGTGCCATTACTTTTACCTTGGTTGAGCCTTATTAACTTTTTCTCTTTGCATTTTTTGTTTTGTTTAGTATTCCATTTTCTGTAGATGACATTTCAAAATCAATGGAACAAATAGACATCGCCGACGTGGGACCGCCTCCGCCACCTCTCAGGAGCAACTCCGGCTTCAGCTTTTTACTGCCGCAGACCGAATAGATGACACAACAATGTGAGTGTTCTTAGGGGAGCAACATTAGTTCAGTGAGTGAAAATTTTGAACATTTCTAGTTGAGAGTGAGATGTATCAAATTTTGGAATTTCTTTCTATGATTATAGGTTAATACAAAAAGGTTTTTATTTTTCCAAGGAGGGGATAAATCAAGAATCATCATACTTAAGGAGTGTGAAAACAGGTAATTTTGGCAAATAAGGTTTGCCTCAAATAATTACAATCAACAAATGCTACTTGTTACAATCATCATCCATAGTCATTATAGCAAAAAAAGAAGTTAAACCAGGTTGATGAGAACATGTTCATGTCAAAAATTAACCACGTAAATCGAATGTAACTCATGAATAAATTGTCAAGACAAGTGAGAGAGCAAATCCCAAAACCCAATGCAGTGTTCTTGGAGTCCCCAAAACACGTTCCGCACCTCCGTAGTATGGCTGGATCATAATCCCGAACCTGCAAGTCAGCGTTGACGGGTCAGACCTCACAACCGACCCGAGGCCCGAGAATTTGCAAGCTTCGTCGTTTTGGTTGTTAATCTGGTAATAGCTGTTGAAGGCATAGGAAATGTTCCCCTGAACATTTAAACTCCCGCAAGACGTCTCGTACCCGAGGCTAGTACAGTCAGCACTCCCACAAGCGAAGCTCACACTGGGGGCAACCTGGGACCCGTAAATGCTCGCACTCGGATTGAAAACACACCATTTCTTCTCAAAATATTGTACCCCCCTTGCGGGAACCAAAGACCCCAAAGTGGTTGTGCCAAGATTGAGAGCATACTTAGGTTGCCCGTCGTAGTAAAACAAACCCCAATGGCGCTCGAAGTTTCCGGGGGCGATGCTCTTGGCGTCCTCGTCAATCAAACTGAAGAGGTAAGCGTTGATTGGACCGGACCTCATTGGGGTTCCCTTCCCGTTGGATATGTGAGCCATGAAACCTTGGTTGAACTTTTGCGCAAGAGATGGGTTTGCATTTCGGTCTCCGTCCGTTGGCCAACCAATCTCTCCCACTATAATAGGCATGTTCGGGTAACCGTTCTTTTGTAGGGCCCACACCAACGTGTCGTGGTTTGCGTCAAACATGTTGGTATACAACATCCCGGCGTCATTTAGAGGTGTTGCATTCCCGTCAAAAAACGCGTAGTCGACGGGGAAGCCGGGATCATTGTAGAGGCTTATGAAAGGGTAAATGTTCACGGTGAACGGGCAACCGTTGTCGTTCAAGAACTTCACAATTTGAATAACATAGTCATGGATATCTTGTTTGAAATCGCCACCCGACGGTAAGCTGCTAGCGGAGTCATAGACGTCAGCGTTGAGGGGAACTGTGACCTTCACTCTATTGCCAAGCCCAGCTTTTAGAAGCGCCTTGTGTACACTTTGGAGAGCGGGGAATGTACTCCGGAGATATGTTCCGTTGTATGTTTGCAAAAAAGGTTCATTTCCAACAGCAACATACCTGCAAGTCACAAGAAGAATATATGGTGTTTCTCAAAGATAAAATCATTTTCTTCTTCTTTTTCCAAGCAATTGGAAAGACATTAAATGCCAATCCTTTTTGCTTGCAAGTGCAAAAGATACTTTTTGCCTTGCATAAATAAAATGACTCAAAAAGTAAGAAAATGACCCTCATACTTTTTTTAACATTTTAGCCACACAATTTCACTAAATGCAACCACTTTCCATTCAGCCAAATTCGACCCTTACCGAACAGACCTTAATCACATCAATTCTAAATGATTCATCATAAGCTCCCAAAAAAGTATGGGACGCCCACCGTCAGACGAAAAGGGTCGTGTTTCTCAACATATTTTCGCCAATTTAAAGAACAAATGTTAATTTTCAACATAACAAAATGTGAGTAAAAAAACTTTAATGCGCTAAATTTAGTTGGACCAGCAAAAACAAGAGATCAAAATATAGCTATATGTGAACATTTCTACAAGTTGTACCTTACTAAAATTTAAAAGATCTTCAATTATGAAATGGAAAGCCCTAAAGCCACTCCAACATTCTCAGTTCTCACAGACATTGAACAGTAACAGGTGTGTGTCAAATTAAATGGTTTACGCAGCAAATGGATATGGAGGAGCTGACCTGATATTAACTTTGTGGTCATTGATATGATTGGTAACATTTTCAGAAACCCATTTCTGGGCAGCCTTAGAGCTAGCCATTGTCAATAGCAAATCATTGGGAATTCCAACCATGACCTCAATGTTAGAGTTGCCCAATGCTTTCAATGAATCATAATCTGCATCAAATAGTTTCACTTTCTGGATCCCATTTTCCTTGAGCATTCCCACCACGATATCTGGCGGAAGCCGGTGAGTCGACTGTGATCCCCAATTTGCCCCTATCCCACTCACTCTGAACACCATTGAAGAGCCTGATACTACTACTAGCACCATTAACACCACCATCACTCTTGAAATCCCCATTATGTTTCTTGATTCAGTTGAAATCTGGAAGAGACAGCCCTTTTATTGGGTCACCTGAGTCAGATTTGATGCTGACTTAGAAAAAAACATCTTTTTTTGCACACATCAAAATCCCAGATCAGAAAGCTAAAATCTTTCTGGATAAGGGAAGCAGAGAAAAACAGTTTCGCAATAAAGCAAAGCAATGACGGGGCAAAAATACCATCTTTTTTGCACAAATTAACATGCCACATGAGAAAGCTAAAATCTTTCCACATAAGAAAAGCCTAGGGGCAGAAAAGGGAACAAAAAAAAGGTTTTCAAGAGGGCATTCAAGGGATAAAGACACAATCTTTATGAACAGTACCACAGAAGATAATACAAAACCAGAAAAACTGGAATGTTTTAATACCCAAACACTAAAGGGGATCTGGAGAAAAGTAATAGTCACAATAACCAAAGAAAAAAAAGTTTCACCAGAATAGAACTATGGTTTTGAAAAGAAAAAAAAGAGAGTTGAGAGAGAGCAAAAGATTACTGTACAAGCAAGATTCTAGACACAAGCTTCCAGCTTTCTCCTCCTACAAAGAGGAAAGGGTAAACATGAAATCAGATATTGATTAGTTCCACCTGATGTAGAAGCAAGAAATAGCAATTTAATTGCTTCTTTTGATGATTTTGGGAAATTAGGAGAGAAGAGAAAGAAGCAAATGAAGAGAGATGCTGAAACGGAAATAGTCTCTTCAATTGAAATTATTAAAAAAAAATCACGAGCCTCTCTTTCATCCTTTCATTTATTGTTCCCAATCTTAAAGTACTTAAACTATTTAAAAATGCTAGGGTACACCAAATGGTGTACTCCATTTGTCCCCCACTTCTTCCATAACCACAAAAAAGACAAGAAACTAAAAAAAATATATAAATAAAAATAAAATAAAATTGAATGGTAGAGAGAGGGGTTGGGGACAAATGGGGTACACCAAACCCCTAGCATTGCTCTAAACTATTCTCTCCTTTCAAAAAATTAGCCTATTAAATATTACTCCCTCCGTCCTATAATGATCTTCCCAGAGCACTATTCCAACTTCACGGGAATTTATATTTATTTGTGTTTTTTCATGGCTTATATGATAAAATAAAATATTCTTGTCACCACTTGTTTTGTTGAACTTTTGGTGTAGTTTTTAAATATGTATGTTTTATTATTTATTTCTATACCAATATTTAAATAAAATAGATTGAAAAAACTTGGGATTTTTCTTCGTTTTGCGAACCGGGAAGATCATTATAGGACGGAGGGAGTATTTTGAAATTTCCATAATTTTTATCAGCATATGTTTTTTCATTGTCTATTTGATAAAATAAAATATTTTAAATTAAAACTTTTTTGGTAAAATTTTTTATGTATTCCGTAATTTTTATTGTACGCATTATTTGAATGACGAAATTTTTTTTGGAGGGAGAAAATAATGTTCTTTTTTCTTAATTCTTAGTACTCCTACTCCATAGTAGTGGAACAAATTTTTTCATTATTATTTGATGAAAAATTCAAATTTACGTAGTACGGAGTACTCCGTAATTTTTTAAAAAAGATTCTCAAACATTAAATTTGGGACAAATTTAAATTTAAAAGACTAAAAAGTCACATCTCCCTTTTTCGGCTGACATCATATGCAGATATGCTCCCTTGTTGTACTGTACAACAGAACAACACAACACACGAAGCCTCTCCTGTGAGGGGGGAAGACTGTATTATGGAACGCTCACCCCTGTAGCCTCGCAACCCGGTCCGATAGGATTATGAGGGGTAAATCATGGTATAATATTAATTTGGTTCTTAGAGAGGTCGTTTTGTCTTCGGTGCGGACAAAAAGTTACTCCCTCCGTCCTAAAACTTTCTTCCCACTTTTCCTTTTTCTCCGTCCTAAAACTACCTTCCCATTAGAAAAAAGATGACAAATAGCATTAATACCCTCATGTATTTACACCAATTATCTTCTAATTCTATATTTTGAATGATTGCAAAAAAAATTCAAAAAAACTTTTTTAAAGAGAATAAAATTTGAAGTCAAAACCAAAAAATAAAAATAGAGAAAAATCAAACTGAGAAGAAAGTTTTAGTAATCTCACACTGTTTGTTGAAGTCGGGATCGCAGTGGCTGCCCTTTCCACTGTTCTCAATGTGTTTTCACTGTGTTTTATTTTAGCTTTTGTCTTCTTCCCAGTGGCTACCCTTTCCAGTCTGTCTAAGTACAACTAACAGGAAGGAGTATAATACAGTAATAATACTGCCTATCTATTTTTGATGAGGAATGCTAGCTAGGGGTACACTTTTGGTGTACCTCATTTGTACACCACCCTCTTTTCCACCATTCATTTTTAATTAATTTTTACTCTCTCCGTTCCAGAGTATTTGTCCATTTATTTTTTGGCACACCATCGAATGCACTTCTTTAATCCATTTTATCTTGTAATTTGTATATTAAAAAATTATAGAAATTATATATTAATAATCTATATGTTAAGACAAATCAAACAAGATCACACATGACTATATTTAGGCTTACACATTGAGAGAATTTGATGAGTCAAAGTGCTTAGATGAACAATTCCAAAAGTCAAATGTGGACAAAGAGAGTGGGACGGAGGGAGTATTTGTTTATTATTATTTTTTTTGATTTTTTTGCCCAATTATATGAACAAAGAAGGGGTGGGTGACAAATGGGATACACCTTTGGTGTACTC